TCTGTGATGATGTGTCCCTAGCATTATTGAGTCTTGTACTTACCTACAGTGTAAAAAACTTGCCCTGCCAGCGCTAAAAGAGATGCGAACACGTCTCCTTTTGTTTTAGCAGATCAGCAAAACACTGCTTTTTGCTCATTTCGTACTTTAACATCGAAATCTTGACACCAATAAACCTCATGTACATATCGTTCCACGCATCTCTTGAAACCGCTGCACTGCTAGGAGAAAAGATAACACTCGGGCATCTGTGTTTAACCAGGGTAGTTTACATTATGCATCCTTGTCTTTACTGGCTCTTTCAAGTTGGTCAGGATAAAGTCATTCATATAACCCTATTAAAAAGGGCAATGAGGAGTAACCTCCCCTGAACCGAACCCCATTACCCCACGAGCAAATGGTGCGAGGAGACCCTTGCATCCCCACTTGACCATGCATGCTCTGGTTGCATACCAAATATGCCAGGAATTCCTATTATGCTGCGTTGGGCACACCTCTTTGGCTGACTTGAAAAGCAACTTAACAGTTATTGACTCTATCAAAAGCCTTTGATGGCATCAATAAAGCAAAATATAACACCAACTGAAGAATCTGTCTTCTATACATTCCTTCACCACTTTCCTTCGGCATAGATAACCATAAATCATACCACTCTTAGCTTTGAAAGCCAAACTGAGTTCGTGGATATCATATAAAATGTCATCTATCAATAACGAATTATTTCCCCAGGACCTTTGGATGACACACTGGCCTAAAGCAAGTCTGTCCCTATAATTATCCAAGCTCCCCACCCCTTCGCCCACGCTTGTGGTGCGCCTTGAATGACAGGCCCACCAAAGGTACGAGACAATGAATGGAGTGCGGCAATAGACCATTCGGTCATTAAAGCCTGGCAAAAAGCAAATTGCAAGAAGTGCCTGGCCCTCGGACTCTAGCAAAAGTCCCTGAGGCGTGCTCTGCGCAGTGATTGAGTCTAAGCCCACTTGCCACTTCCTTAATTATCAGCTAGCTGTTCTGTAGATCTGCTTGTTGCACTCCCTACACACCTGTGATTCCCACCTGCTGTCACTGTGCAAACGTTGCCACTTCGGAGTACCGAGATCACTCGCTTTCAACGCAATTGAATCACGCTGCACGATTAATCTTGCTTACAAACAGCTCACTATCTTCGTCCGGCACCCAGAAACATCCCTTATCAACTGTACATGTACATCGAGCCGTACCTGACCCTGTTCAGTCGTCTCACTCTTCCAGAAGCCACGTAGCATGCGTTTCCAAAGAAGCTCTCTCCAGCCATACCGGGCGCTCTCCAAATCGCTACTCCGCTTTTTTTGCTCATTGATTATTCGCTGATCTACGCACTTTACACTCGGCAACTAACACACACCTTTAAGTATCGATGACTTCTTTTAAAAAACATACCTGGGTAATCGCGGCATCGGTACTGGCCGGTATCCGGCGCCGCGATGAACCAACAGCACAAGAACCTGCGGGATATCGGGAGGGAAAGAAATGCGTATCGGAACACATCTCTACTTGATGCTCTGCGTCTTTTATTAGCCGCTAAAGTAAAGGCATCAGGCTACTGTACCGAGGCGTCCTTACAGTGGAGACGCTCATCATTACAATCTCACCACTCAAGAGCACAACAAATTCGGCATTCTCTGGCCCTTCCAAACAGACCACTCAGTTCTCTACATACGTACTAACATCACATCTTCTCATTTTGGGCTTAGACACACTCCAAGCTTTAGCCTTAACACAACTCACTATCCTAACCCCTCTTGTGTAATCTCCTTGAAGACCATCCACCAAACTCAACGCTACCATACACAAAAGGGACATGGCGTCGAGACATGGTTCAGACATCTCCATCTGCATTCTAACTAGTATCTGGGCACTCAGCCGTTGCTGAATGCGTGGTCAAGCCATATGTACGAAAACCTGTCAGGCCTCCACTTATGTAAGAGTACAACTTCGTCGGGCAGTAGGAGCTTTGGATAGATAGTAATCCCCCCGCGCGGCCCCCCCAGATACTTACATCACAAAACACCGGCAGCATATGCCTCCTTGGCGAACCAAAAACGAACGCTCTTTCCTGCAAGGTCAGCCATTCCATGCTCACCCCACTCACATACTAGCACGCCTTGTGGAGCAGAAAAAAAAGAACACAAAACAGGGCGCGAAGAGAAAAAAAAGCGGACACAACAACATGCCCTGTCCAGCAAATAAAACGAATCTCACTGATAGGCATGCCAAGCTCTATTCAGCGTATTCATCTTCTACATTCTTACTGTTCGCTGACTCGTAACGGTGTGTACACTTGACGCGCGCGACTGCGCCGGTAACAGAACTCCGGCTATCCCTGCATTTCCTCTCTTACTCTGTACGAGCAATAAAACCCAAACAGCTTCAAAGCCTAAAAACGCCATCTTTAAGATCACTGGCTGTGGCTTCGCAGCTTCCGCTTGCTCTGGCCCAAAGATGATGCGCCGCACGGCCAGCCCCGGCTCACGGCTTCCACCCGCCATCAGGTGGCGAGCCCGGGCGCCTGACGCACTGCTGCTATTCTCCTCTCCACTATTCGCCATTGACGCGGATCAGTACGCTGGCACTGCACCAAAAAAAAAGGCCCCATGGAATATTATAAACTAAAACGGAGCTCTCAACATCTTTCCTAAAGGGTCCTGTTTACGATAAAGCACGTTCTCTGCAAGACATGAGCTCGCGCCCGCGACCGCCAAATCGTCACAAAAACTTTGCAGCAGGGCGTCTTTTAACCTACAGTACCCGTTGGCTTTGTCTCCCTGCGCTGTGCCCCAGCCAGCTCAAATGTGTGATGATGATGACATCTATAGGCAGCGCCGCATGTTATATGCACAAGCTAACATGCTGGTTAGGAAATTCCACTGGTGCTCAGATAAAGTTAAGATAAGCTTGTTTAAAGCATACTGTACTCCTCTGTATACTGCCCCCTTATGGACCAAGTTTAAAAAGTCTAGCATCCAGAAGCTCCAGATTGCCTATAATGATGGTTTGCGTATACTGGAGTTGGTTATCATCCCAGGCTGAGCCATTTCAGTGATCTGTTTTCTGTGGCAATGAATATGCTAATACCAGAGTGCAGAGGCCCTAAATTCATTGATGACTTAGCTTAACTGAGTCAGTCCCTGGAGCCAGATGGATCCTTAAAGGGCAGGAGGAAATGATGGAATGTGCAAGATTGGCTTTCAAGCCAGAGATATCAAGGTCCTTGTTGCTTAAGAATGGCAGTGTGATCGACAGATTCCGGGTTTTCGATTACAGACTTGCCAATCCCAACCATCTCGGAAAAGCTAGTAAGGATCTTGGGGAAGATGTTTCATAGCACTCCCAGAGAAGGAACATCGATAAAGAGCAGCTTGACAAGCATGCAATGATCAATGCGTTCCCCATGTCCGCTATTGGGAACCAGGAGAGAAGAGTCTACTGTTTGAAGGGCAACAGCTGATAGGGCAGAATCTGAGGTCTGATCAACCCCAGCTGGCCTGAGTAAGGGTGTATGATGTTCATAAAACCAGAAACACCCAATGACTTCCTAAACTTCACAAATATTAAATTAGACTCCTATGACCTGTGGTGCCCCCTTTGACATTATAGTACAGATTAGTTTAAATAAAAGCAGGAACAAGATTGATTCATTACTTGATTAGCTTATTGACTACAGCTCGTCAAAAAGCTTCAGCTTATTCAAAATGCAGCTGAATAAGTTCTTACATTGCAACTCCCACATTTTATAATATACATCACAATATGTAATAATTTATTTACAATTTATTGTAATTTATTACATTTTGCGAGTTAATTTTAATCATCTTAAATAATGAGATGTTATACAACGTGTTATTTTTGCATTTTAAATGAGATTACATGGAAGCTGTAAAACACTACACCCTGGAAAGAATATACCAGGAACACTATTTCTACAGCTAATTACTGGCATTAACTGTGGGCAACAGGGATGTAGAGAAAGGTCAAGTGTCTGTGAAGCACATCATGACCTATGTAAAAATCCCATTACTCTCATCCCTTTTGGGTCACTGTTTTTTTGTTCATCTTCTGGTTGCCTGTCATTGAGTAACAAGAAGCCTGCAGCTGCATAACAATAAATGAGAGCAGCAACACAATAACTGATAATCTTTATTTGAAGTGATAAAAAGGTTTCACCTCCATTTTGCAGCATTGTACTGTATCTATGTCTCATATGTCTGTAAACTGAATGAGGTGACAAGGATTCACAATAACAACCCCCCCACAGAGAACTATGGGGGTTAAAGCCTGAAAACGAGTTAATGTTCATTTAAAGTGACAAGTGGTTCGATTATTAGCCTGTGAAAAAAACAAAATCAATATTAACAGGCAAGGATGTTCTTGATATTTCAAGATAGTAGAAATTGGCCAAATAATTGAAATCATTCAGAGAGGAGGCTACATACAGCTTGCAAATCAAATTTAATTGCAAAGTGCTGTTTTTAGGTTATTAACCTGAACGCTTCAGTCGGTCTAGGATCGTATTGATTGTGGAAATAGACCATTCCCTGAATAATAATTATAACATAGCACAAAGAAAAGAGGGTTAGAAGAGGATGAAAAGGAAACCACAATAAAAAGATGGAATGTCTGAAACATGCAACCCTGAATACATTGCCGTGGCTACACACTGTATACCTCATTATTATTCTCTGTCCATTCTTCATGGTTTTGGTGTCACAGTAAGCACATCTTCTATTAAAAAGGCTTTATTGTATTTTAACAACTGAGGTGAAAACTCTGGGCGACATAGAGCTTATTGAACTGGCTTTATGGTTTGTGTGAGCTCCTTTGTTGAAAAGAACATACCTTGTGTAAGTTGACAGTGTAAGGTGCAGGATCCCAGGCCACCAGGGTCACGTTCTTGTAAATTGAGCTTGTGTTGAATCGATGCTTTGGATTAGCCAAAATCTGTAGAGGGAAATATGTTATGTTATATACTCAAGTAAAAACTTAATTAGCATTGAAGACAACAACTCCTTAAAGCAGGGTTCAGCATTTTGGGAAATACGTTTTGGCAGCAGCCAATTAGTTTGGCTTAACATAAAGTCTGGAAACAGGGAAAACAACTAGGCTCTGAGGCTCCGCCCAAAGCTCACAGAAATACATCATATCTCTTTTGTATAGTACAAAATTAAAGTGTAAAAACAACATGTCATTTTATAGGCAGTTCTTGGCCTCGCACAATAACTTTTTACTGCTCCCGGCCAAAAAATAGTCCAACACATAATTGCCAATAAGTGGACAGAATGAATAAACGAGATATAACATTCAGAATGTTTATAAATATCAAGCTTGAGAGTTGCTGGTATGCATTTGTACTGAGACAGAGCTACGGAAAACTACATTTGAGTAGGGTTGTGGAACTATTCCTACTCACTCATTAATCTAAATATTATTGAAATTGCAATATGGCCAAGTGCTATATGCAAATCACAAAAGCTGCAAAAGGTTAAATGTGTGACAAACTGCATTGAAATAAAGTCCTGTAGTGCTGCAGAGATGTTAAAAGGCAGTTTTTCCTTGCCCCCGTCGCCAAGTGCTTGCTCAAGGTGGTACTGTTGGGTATTGGGTGTAAATGTTAAAAGGAGTTCGGTCTAGACCTGCTCTATTTGAAAAGTGTCCTGAGATAACTTCTGTTATGAATTGGCGTTATACAAAACTGACTTGAATTAAATGCTCTGGCTGCCTGTTTTTCCTTATTAAACATTATTAAAGGCCTAAACTTTGAGTTTTAAGTTCTAAACAAGTCATAATGTGATCGTTTTGTTGTGTAATTGTACATGGATTTGTTTGTTAACTGACAGATATCTTGTATAATTACGGAAAAACGCTGAATAAACGTTTTCTATCTATACAGTTTTTATCAGTGAAAACAGCAATCATTTTATTTTAATTATATAAAATGACTGTAAGTAGTAGTAGTGTAAAGAGGAGAAAGTTGTGACTGAGGGATGAGTAATAGCGAGGGAAAGGAGGAGGTGAAAGGATGACAGCTCTGATAAAGGGAAAGAAAGGTTGTGAGAGAGTGAGAGACAAAAGGTTGAGCGGTACGAGACAAAGACCAAACAGGTACGGTGGATGATGGATGAACGGAGGAATGGGCGAGGAGTGAAAGAATGACAGAAAGAAAGAAAGAAGAAAGAAAGAAAGAAAGAAAGTAAAGTGTAGGTTGGGAGGTTTTTAAGAGGTTTCAGACAGAAACAGAAGATTGATGGTTGAAGTCACAGAATGTCGTTTATGATAAAAAGGATGTCTGAGAGAGACGGAGAGAGATGGATGAGAGGAGGGACGGAGGTGTAAAGGTTGAAGAATAAGTTTAACACAAAGAAAAGAAATAAAGAAAGGATGATTATAGAGTCCATCAGACTTCACTTTGTCCTTAACGAGTGAATTCATTTCATTTACAGTCACTTTATTACACTTTCTATTGACCAGCCTGTCCGTCATACAACTTATTGTTATTATTATTATCATCACACACAATAGACCTATAGCTAGTGTTCATTTCTGTGAGAGAAGTAAAGTGTCTAATAGTACGCCACAATATGAAGTACTAATTTCGTCTGTTAGAAATAATAAAAATACGGAATACAGACAGAGAATTAGATAATAAAAGTTCCCTAAACAGGAAATAATCTGCTCACAATTCTTCCAAATCTCTCATTTTACACAAACGTCCTGCAGTTACTGAGTTCACTGTTGGGTTATTGTACAGGTTTAAATATAATATGAGGGAGGGGAACCAGACCCCCAGAATGCATGATGTGAATATGGGAGGCTATACGAGGAGCGCTGTGACTCTGATAAAGCTGACTCACAGTGTATATATATATACACAGTATATATATATATATAAATATATATAAATATAAATATATATATTTGATCAGTATTTACTGATAAAGGAGGCACAGCTGTGCGGTTCCCATCAAGAACCAGACGGACAGAAACTGAACTGACATCATATTCTGTGGTTAACACTGAAACACATCTGCTTCTAGTACAATGGGGGGGGGGGAAATCTGTGCTTTAAATATATATATTACCATAACCATTTATAAACTTTACCTACTTAAATGAATTTAACTTTTTGTGTCTCACTGTAAAATTTTATTTTTGATAAAATTAGCTTTCGGATGTAACTAATTAGCTACCGACTGCTGTAGATTAGCTCGCTAGTTAGCTAGTGGTTTATGCTGTAGCACACTGCTAACTAACTAGCTACTAGCTAATGAGTGATGTAGATTTGTCACTTTTTTATTATGCTGTTTGAAGAAATTGTCTCTTAGCTAATTATTAATCTTAAATTACTTAAATTTAGCTTAACCCTCTGGCCTTGTTCAAA